AGTGAAAAGCAATGTGAAGCACCATCGAGAAAGGTCGTACCTGAGAAGAAAGAAGAGGCGGCTGAGAGAGGCAACATGACGGCGAGGGATGGGGGAAAAAGCCCCTGCACTGCCTTCTTCCCTCTCGGGGGGAAACCTGGTACCTGTTAATGGGGCTGTGCAGGCTCCATGGAGCTTGCTAAGTCCAACTCATTGAACACACTGTGAAATTCATTGATTTCCAATAGTAATCAAATGAGCTCTATAGTTAAAAGCCTCAGGGCACACGTACACATTAAACACCACTTTAAGTGAAGTGATAATCCATCACAGTGGAAATTAAAGGAAGATTTGCTACCACCCCCAGCTGGCTCCCGCTGCTCAGCATGGAAAGAAAATATGTGAACTATTATGATTAAAAACAAAGACCTTCCATACACGACTCTGAGAGCCAAATGCATGGGGAGCTCACACTGAAACTGGCTGGCTCACCTGACAGACAGGCCGGCTTCCCAAGGGGTCTCAGCTGCAGCTGGGACTCGGCACAGAACCTCTGCGCGCCCCCAGGATGGGGGGTAAGAGGGATGGATGCCTCAGGAAAGCCATGAAGGAGCTGGGTGAAGCCAGGCAGTCCTGACACACACACAGCTACAGAAACTGAGAAGGTGCGACTCAGGGGAAGTAACACCTCCAACCACAGGACGGGACCATCTTAGGTGTGTTGTTTCTGTGGGGTGTTTTGGTGGAGGGTAGGCAAAGGCTGCCTGCAAAAGAAACAGGCTCTGGAATCACAAACCAGCTCTACTCCTTTCTAGCTGAGCAATTTTGGGGCAAGTTATTCAGCCACTCTGACCCTCAGCTTCCCCAACTCTGACAGCACCAACCTACTCAGGGCTATGAGCATTAAATGAGATGATGTAAGTGCGTACGTACAGTGCTGGCACACAGCCCTGGCAGGCCCTTAAGCCTCCTTCCCCCTTTATATCTACCCTCTGCATCTCAGCCAGCACTATTTAAAAGGCAGACTTGACCATGTCATCACGCTCACGGCCTTCAGAAAGGCAATACAGGGCAGTAGTTAAGGCAGGTTCTGGAACCAGGCTCGGCTATTTCAAATCCCAGTTCTATCACTGACTAGCTGTGTGACCTTGGACAGGTTACTTAATCTCTCTGGGCCTCACTATCCTCATCACAAAATAGTTAATCCTCACAAGAGTCCTATGAGGAAGATTCTCCTAAGTTAATACATATAAAGTACTCAGCATATACACCTGGTGTGTAGTTAGTATGCAATCAATTCTAAGTGTGTATGACCACTGACCACCATCTACCACTGACACCCATAAACGGCTGACACCCCATAAACAGCTTCAGACTCATCTCCACCAGCTCATACTCTGTACTCCACTCACTGAACTGACACTCAAGGGTCAACCGTGTGTCAGAAACTCTCCTAAGTGTTCAGATCCAGCAACCAAACTCTTTGTAGTCCCTTCTAATACACCACACACTTGCACTTCACCCCTGCAAGTTTTGTTGATGCCATTCCCTCAGCCTGGCACACCCTTCCCACCACTGTTCACCAGGCCCTTACTTGCCCATGAAGACTGAGCTCAAATGCCACCTCAGCATTGGGCTTACTGGCCCCTCCTCTGGGCTCACCTCTATCTTAACACTTATCCTACTGAAAGTGAAATTATCGTTTTCTTCCTGTTTCCTCTACGAGAGAGAAGCTCCAAGAGCAGGGACCACCCTTTAGTCATTTCTGTACCCCTTGAACTCAGCAGCACAGGGCACACAAAACCCCTCTTCTCCTCCCATATTCCCCACTCACATCCTGTGCTGAGATGCCCAGAACATGGTTCTTCTGGGCCACAGGTGAATTTTTTTTAAGTCCTACAAAGACTTGTCATTGGCATCTAGGCCCACTTTGCATTTGCGGGGTCTAGGTTAAATACATATGGCTGTTGGAT